ATTTGGTGTGGGTTGTGAATGGGGTTGTGTGGTGTCTGAATTTCGGATCCCATTCGCATACCGCGCCTTGGATGTCTCCTCAAGGATTTCTGGTATGATAGCTGCAAAGTAGGGTTTCTCGTGTGTGGTATGGATATTAATGGGAAAAGAGATCAGACCGGTCATGCTGGGAATTGTCACGCTGGTTACCTGAGTTGGTCCGATTCAGCCATCTAGTAGCGAGACTGAGTAGGCATGCAACATTTTCTGCTTCTCGGCCTTGAATAATCTTGTTCCTATACGACCGGGTTTATTATTGACTTTACTAATCTGATATTATGATAATAACTTGAGGTGGTCATGGTAGGTGCAAGATTCAACAAGCCGACATGTTCAATCCTAGACAGTCTTGAACAATCAGGTCAAGCAAATCGCAGGCACGAAAAGTCCCAGGGTGCAGATTGCAACGCGATACCTCTATTAACCCCTGTTAGAGTTTTGAGTGAAATCTCTGCGAGTGCTGAAACTTTTCTACTCGAGTAGAGCACTGATTTGATTGCTCAAAGGAAAGTTTCAATGGTGAGCCTAAAATGAAGGCATCATGTCCAAAAAGAGAAGAGAAGAAAAAAATCCCCTGGAAAAAATCCCTGCTCCTATCATACAAAACCACAAGACGAGAAACCTCACGAACAGTGGATGAACGCCACAACTCCTCTGCCACTCTCAACAGTCGGCGGCACAAAAAAAATAAAAATAAAATAGCAAAAATAGATATCCGAGCCCTGGTGCTAATATTTCCTTTACAATAATAATTATAATATCATTATTATATCAAATTGGTTTTCCTGTAGCAGCCAGACACACACCTCTTGGGGCATTGGAAAGTGTGGGATCACAGTATGACAATTTGAGATTACCACAATCGCCAGCAGCAACTCATGTTTTTCAAAGTTTGAAAAACCCAAGACGATCGGACGCGCACTGAGAAACAGAATAATCCTGTTGGGTAATCGTTATCGTGGTTCTACACCCGCCTCTTGCGCTGGGTTCCAGGAACGAATACTCGTGGGCTCTCACTTGGATACAAGGGGATGGTTAGAGATTCGGACGGGTGAGCGGTGAGCTGCGGCATGCGTTCGAAATTTCAGAGGATTCGCGAGCGTTTTCCCACGGTTCACCTCAGTCGCCACCACAACTACTGTACAGTACTCGTACTGTGCCACAAACCATCGCCGATTGGCTATTCCTATTCTGGCCAAACAGAGTATCGACTCGAGCAGTCACTGTGACGGCCTCTTCGTAAATAGATAACGTAATTGAGCGAGATAATATAGTTTTTGCATTGCGAACAGTATTTTCCAAATTAGCGAAAACCCGGTTGTGCGAGGTATATCTATAGTACTGTATTCGTACAGAAAGCGGTCGCTAAGTCGAAGCCGGGAAAAACAAGCTTCTCGGTGGGATAGGGTACGTATGATAACTTTATATAGTATCATATCGTTCCCCCGGTTTTATCCGACTGGGTACTGTACCTGGGTGACGTGAATGTTGTTAGTCTTGGTACGCAGTTGAGCCGAACAGCATTGCCTTGTTAACTCTTGTTAACTTACAAGTACTCGAGTAGAGTGACGGCAGGGGTCGAGAAACAAGCAATGCGCCAGCGGGTGTGGAGTGTCGTCTTACTCGAGTACCGGTACTAGTACTTGTATCGTACTTGTACTGTACAGTTCGGTAGGCTAAGCTATTAAATTTACTATGGTACTTGTGCCTCTTTGGTAGGGGACGCTGGGCCTTGCACCAACCCGGTGACCCGCATACATCAAATGTCTGAGCGGTACTGCACGGTATAGTACTGTACTCGTACTGTACTCTGGTACCGTACTGTACTGTACAGTACGATCTTGGCATAAAAAGTCATGAGTAGTGCAACGGTATCAGAGGACCTTATGAAGACAACGATCATGACTTCAACTCCGCCCCCCATGCAATTTGGCATGAATGGGAAACTCCAACCAGAACCAGGGTTCTGACCATGCTGGAATGTGGTATTTCACAGAGTGAGGCTGGAAGGCGTACCGGGGTTGCTCAACAAACCATCAGTTACTGGGCTCAGCAAGAGCCTAAACGTGAGCGCCGACAGAACAAACGAACAGGACACCCACACAAGCTCAATGAGCACGATCTACGACATTTAATTCGTATCCTGTGGCGGAATTGGGAGGGGAGGAGGCTATCATGGAGGAAATTAGGACAGCAGGCAGGATTAAAGGTTACAGCTCAGACGATTCAGAGCGCTCTTGCTGGAAAGAGTTATACATGATGCCGGGCTGTCACGAACGTGGCTTAGCATGAAAAAGGTTTTCACGTGACACATGGTTATGAGTAACAGGTATGTTATTGTTTCGCGCATATGACCTATTCGGGTTATATGATTTGTTATGTGTGGGATTTGTGATGCTTTCGCACATGGCTCAAGTATGAGTCATGGGACATGCACCTGACGAGTATGCCTTGTGAGTGTGCCTTGCGGGTAAGCCTTGCGCATATGATTTATGTTTTGCACAGGACCTCATTATGAGGTCATGGGTTTCGTGCATATGACTCAGTCGAGTCATATGACTTGTTTATTGTATTACGATTGGTTTATGAGTTTTGCACATGACCTCGCTATGGGATCATGGGTTTTGAGCATGTGATCACTTTGGTCATATGACTAGTTTGTTATGATTTGGTTTTGCACATGTGACCACTTTAGGTCACATGACTAAAGGCGGGAAGAACACTATATAAGGAGGCCGATGTGGCCGAGGAAGATAGGTTCTTTACGCTTTGTTCTAAGTACTTTTCCTACTTATTACTATAACAAATATAAAACACCTTTACGATCTTTATCTTTATTGCAACGTTATTGTTGTGCTGAGAAAGGGCTTCGAAGAAGACAAGTTAGAGAAAGCTTACGATAGGTGTTCCCGATAGAAGACAAAGGTCTTGTACTATCGGTAACGTGGGCATAGGCCCATAGCTATCGTGAGACAAAGGAAGAAGAAGACAGAAGAGATAAGTATCGTTCCCCATCACCAAGAGCTAACTACTGAGAAAGGGATCATTACACGGGCTTGCAAGAAGTCCTTTATCGATTGCGCTGCTCAAAAAGCAAGACTGGCTTACTCTATTGAGCACTCTGATAAGCCTAAGGAATGATGGTACAAGCATATCTTTGCTGATGAAGTTACCTTTAATACCTCACACCAGGGTTCAGCTTGGGTAACACGACTCTCCTCCGAACGCTATCATGATGATTGCATCCAACATACCTTTACTGGCGGCAGAGCATTGGTGCCGGTATGTGGAGCAATTGGGTATAATTGGAAGTCCAAACTAGTCTTCCTTACTGGCACAGGACGTCGTAATGGCATCACCTCTACTGACTATCTCGAACAGGTTCTGAAGTCAATTGTTGGACCGATCTTCAAAAATCAGCTTGGATTTGATTCTACAGAAGGCGAATTTGTGGAGGACTCCGTACCATGGCATGGAACCAAGGTTGCCTTGGTTGAACCCAAAAAAACAACTTGGCATCCCAGTTCACCCAAGACTGACCTCCTCACCCAACTTGAATCCAATTGAAAATGTTTGATGCATTCTCAAATAATGGATCAAAGCATGCGAGCACTTCCCTGGAATCCTGGCAGAGATGTGCAAGGCTGTCCAGGCAGAGTGGGATAGACTACAACCTTCAGATTGGAATGAGTTGGTTGATAGTATGCTGGGTAGACTGAGGGAATGCCGTGAGTGAAATGGCTTACAAACTCGTTATTAAGTCTTTCATCCTCATCAGACTGTATTCTATTTTCATCATCATTTTCTGCATTGAAATTGTTGAGAAACCATCTGTTTTATGATTGTTACTTGTATTCTACTCGTAACTTTTTATGCCAAGATCGTACACTACAACGGTATTCGTGGTGAGTAATTATTGTAGCTAGAGCCCTGGCCACGCTCGGGAGAGCGCTATATGTGAGGGAAAAAACAATGTCTTTTGTCGTTGTCGCATTTTGTGAGCTATAGCACTTGGCTAACAGCGTACCGGTAGTCTCTCACCAGAGCATGCTACTTGTATTATCAACACTACTAGGTTGGCAATTTTGTAATAGCTGCGAGTAGGTTGGCTGTGTCTCTAACGGTGGTTCCCCGAGAGCTTGTATCCTGGACGGATCGAGGGGAATCGAGGCTATTGATCTGGACAGGCCGGTTTCTGGGAAGGTCGTTTGACGGATGAGATGGGAGTGGTGCTCGAAATGAGATCGCGTATCGGTAGCTCCCTCAAAGAGGAAAATATCGGCGTTAGGTGAAACGGTTGCACTCTAGCGAGAAAGTATCATAGTCCCTTTTCATGCTAAGGTCTAGCATCAATTGGACCAAAACAGCGAGAAAAGGAACTGCCATGGAATTCGTGATTTAATTCCGTTATCACGAGTGAGGATTTCGTGGTCCCCGGGGATTTCCCGCCGGTGTAGTCTTTCCCTGGGTACATCACCATGTGTTTTTTGTGTCATGTATGTGCACTGGTGTAGTCACACACCTCGCTATCCAAGCTCTCCATAATCCCGATACCTCCATGTCCCGTATGGGCCTCTGTGAGTCCCCCAATTTTTTTGCACCAAAACCTGACCTGTTGCCCCGGATAACCCGGTGTGCCTGAGAGTTTATTTTTATTTTGGCGTCCGGTATAGTGAGGTGCGACTGTATGTGGCATATTATTTGTGGATCGTATGGAACGGGAGAGAGGGGAAATAGAACGTCAATAGGTCGATTGACGTCGACTTTGTCCTCCCGCTAATGCGTGCCCTCCGATGTATGGGGTGGGAATTAGGTGGTTATTAGTCGGAATTGGGTTACCTAGCGAGTGCGTGATGTATGATATTGCTACTGTATTTAAGATTCGGCGGTCCGGGCTCCCCGAAAATTGGAAATCCGAGAGCCTCCTCTATCGCTAGCGACATTCCAAAGTTCCAGCAGATATGAACGCTCCTCGGGATCCCCATGAAGCGCCTCTTCCAGGAACAGATGCCACAGCTGTTGAGCCAATAGCCAAACGTGCTGAGATGGTGGTGGGCCGCACCGCTTCAGCACATGCTGCCCGTGAGAAGCAGTCAGTCAACTCAAACGATCTTGAAACTGGCGCCGGTGGGTTTGCTGATGACTCAGGGGGAGTAATCTTGAGAAGAGAGGAGCTACCTAGAGGTGGGTTGGCGGACGACGAAATTGAACCAACACCGGAGGAGTTGGCTACGCTCAGAAGGGTGTCGGATTCTCTCCCAATCTCCGCATATTATGTCGTGTAAGTTTATCGAAACCTTTTCAGTATTTTCTGGTCTAACAATATCGGCAGAGTTGTCGAACTCTGCGAACGGTTCTCTTATTATGGTTGCAATGCACCTCTACAGGTATGGATTGTGAAAATTCTGTACAGAATCGATTCCAGAGAAAGACTGAAGTGCCTTAGAATTATATATCATACCCCAAGGAAGGTAATAAGAAGAATGGTCAGCCTGGCGCACTCGGTCTCGGCCAGCAAGGGGCCACAGCTCTCACAAATTTCTTCCATTTCTGGGCATACCTTACGCCAATTGTGGGCGCTGTTATTGCCGACCAATATCTTGGTCGCTATCGGACCATTTGTTATGGATGTGGCCTTTACATCGCGGGATTATTTCTCCTATTCATGACCGCACTGCCGGCCTCGATTAACGGAAACCATGCACTAGGAGGGTTGATACCTTCACTGATTATCATTGGAACAGCGACTGGTATTATCAAGAGCAATGTCAGCCCTTTGACGGTGGAGCAATATCGCAAGACGAGAAGATTTGTGAAGACATTGGAGACGGGAGAGAAGGTTATTGTTGATCCGGTTGTGACAGCCCAGACGAGTGAGGATCTCTCAGAAATGGCAAGGAGATAAGGCTGACCTTAACAGTTTTCAACTGGTTTTATTGGGCCATTAATGTTGGAGCATTGTCTCCATTGGCAACAGTGAGTTTCTCCGCATAATTTTTTATCCGTCATCGTCTCCTGACAACGTCTATTAGGTATTTTCAGAGAAGAAAGTGGGATTCTGGTTTGCGTACCTACTCCCATTTCTGATGTTCTTTGTTGGCGTTGGCGCCCTTGTCGCCGGGAGAAACAAGTACATCCGCCGCCCACCAGAGGGGTCGGTACTTCCCAACGCTTTCCGTGTCGTCAGTATCGGAATCAGATACCGGAGTTTGGAGGCCGCAAAACCGTCCAACCTGGAAGCAAAGGGCTTACTTCACAAGTTAGAGCCTTCAGCATTTGTTTCCCCTCAAAGCAGATCTAATATACTACGCAATTAGGTACAATGTGAGGTGGACTGATCATTTTGTTGACGAGGTTCGCCGTGGGTTAGTTGCTTGCAAGGTTTTGTATGTGAACTCGATCCCACTATTTTCTGAGTGTTAAAACTCACATAATGTTACCAGCGTCGCCTACCCATTCTATTCGATCTGCGCCAACCAGGGCTCCAATAACCTTGTATCCCAAGCAGGTGCAATGAAGCTTGGTGGCACGCCTAACGATCTCATCTCCAAGCTTAACCCCTTAACCCTGATCATCTTCGTCCCAATATTCGATCGTGTGGTGTTCCCAATGCTCCGCAGAGCTGGTATCCACTTCCGCCCAATCACCCGCATCACTCTTGGTTTCTTTATCCAATCCTTGTCTATCGTCTATATCACTGTCCTCCAGCATTACATCTATAAGAGCCCGCCGAATTCCATCAATGTGTGGATTCAGGGTCCCTGTTATGTTCTCGGCGCTATATCCGAGATATTCACATATATCACGGCGCTCGAATATGCATTCACACACGCACCGGCAAGTATGAAGAGTGTTGTTACATCTGTATATTTTTTCCACAATGCCATCGCTGCCGTTATAGGAATTTCTCTTACCCCAGTAAACAAAGATCCGGAGATTCTATGGACTTGTAGGTTTCATTGAATCTCCGCCGCTTGGATTTGGTATGTGGCTGACAGCTTCGCAGATGCTTCGGTGGCAAGCGGTGCCGCAGTTGCTGGTATTATATTCTGGTTTTCGTTCAGACACCTGAATGAACAGGAGGACGAGATGATGGATCTCGAATCCAAGGACATTGGACGCGGTTCGAACGGTATCTCGAGTGCTGCACAAGGAGATTGTACTGGCTCGACCTTTCTGGGGGAAGCCAATATCCGGGGCCCTACAAAGAAAGATTGAAGAGGTATGATAGGAAAGAGATTATTTTCCGTGATATATGAAAACCCAAAAAGAATTTTTTTGCCCCGGATACATTTGCAATGACACCCCGGAACCACCCTGTAGGGATAAAAGGGTTTCCATTAAGCCAGGGGTGTCTCTTGTGCCCAGTGCTACCAAGGCTCGAGGCTGTTAGAGACCTGGAGTCGAGTGATGGTACATGAGACATTTAGTAGCGACAATGTACTAGTACATACCGATATTAATGCGAACCCTCCAAACAGAGCTCATGGCATGGCAGGAGTGAGTAGAAAACCTCCACGGAAGTGTTGTTTAAGCTTGGGTTTGCTACTTCCAAGTATAGTACGAGTGCTCCTGTAGCTTAGTTGGGGTTTCGGTTTCACGCTGGACGGGCCGCCGCAGGGTTCTTTGGGTATAATGGTTCGAAAGAAAAGTACAATGTGGTGTCGTAGGCTCAGGTGTTTAGACAAGAAGGGTCACTTTAGCTCTTGTAGAATTGGGTGATTTTACAATTTTGGGTCATAAAGTCGACCCTTTTTCTTGAGGAATTCCTTTACACTTTTAGTGCCAAGACAAGGGTCTAGCCCTAAACCCCCATTACAGCCATGCTTCATCTCCCAGGCTCTCAACCCCTTTCCAGCCTCGCCAAGCTTCTCGAATCCACCTGGCATTTCCATTTTCCAGCCTAAGAGCATCCACCTTCGTTCTCAGCCAACTCTACGTACTACAACCCAACACCTCTGCAATGCGTTTGACCATTTCCACTTTGGTATCGATCTTAGCTTCGGCTGCAGCTGTTACTGCGCATAACATCCAGTTACACGCCCACAGCAGAGAATGCTTTCACGAGACGCTACACCGAGATGACCGGATGACCGTAACCTTTCAAGTCGGCGATCGGGAATTTGGCGGAGCCGGGAATTTGGATATCGATTTCTGGGTAAGTTTATCTTCTCACACGGCTTGATCTGGAAGGGAAAGGGGAGCAGAGTATTGTCTCCCCCCTCTTTTTACCATGGCGGGTTCGCGGGAATAATAAGGAACTAATCAAATCAATAGATTCAAGATCCCTCCGGTACTCTGAAGGTTAGCGAGCATGCGGTCTCAGCCGGTGACCATTCATTCGAGGCACATCTTGATGGCAGATATATCTACTGCTTCTCCAACGAGAATAGCAGCGTCGGTTCAAAGGAGGTTTCATTCAACGTTCACGGCATCGTCTACGTACCGGAGGAGCCCGAGTCTTCAGATCCCCTGGAACGCGAGGTCAGGAGCTTGGGAGAGATGTTGAACCAGGTCAAGGATGAGCAGGAGTATATTGTTGTCCGGGAACGCGTGCACAGAAACACCGCTGAGAGCACGAACTCGAGAGTTAAGTGGTGGAGTATTTTCCAGTTGGGTGTTGTTGGCGGAAATGGTGTTTTCCAAGTGTGGTACCTGAAGCGATTCTTCGAGGTAGGTCCTGGTGCTTTTATGTAATGGCTTGGGGTGGGGGGGTCATGCTGATGATTGAGTAGGTGAAGAGAGTCGTTTAAGTTTGTAGTCTCTTTAGGTCTTTAAATTGGTTGGAAGGATGCAGATTATTGCCTTTTTTTTTATTTTTAATTTTTATTATGATATTCTGTAAACGAAATAATGGGATTGTTGGAGCTCAGAATGAACACATTGGCTAGAACTTTTTTTTCAGGGTCTGAATCTCTTGGCGGAGGATGCCCTAGTCCTGACTAGGATTATCAGATGGTACAGTCTCGTAATCAGATGGCGGGGCGACTTGTTGAGCCTCGCACCTCTCTCGATGCCCTCCGTTCACATTGGCTCACCTTAAACTAGCATTCTACTTCCAAATTCCCAGCAAACACCCCGGAAAGTAGCCCAAAGAATGGCCACCGCAGACCCTGTCCCCGCCCTCCGCAAGGTCCTCGGTGATGACAATCAGGAAAATCTTGCCCTTCGATTCCGTGCCCTCTTTTCACTCAAGCACCTCGCTCGCAACGGTAGCAAACCAGCGATAGAAGCAATCGCAAACGCCTTCAGCAGCAAATCCGGTTCGTTCTCCCTCATGCTTTTCTACCCTTACTCCCCTTTCAATGCTGGCTTACCCCCCCCCCCAAACAGCCCTCCTAAAACATGAGCTCGCCTATTGTCTCGGCCAATCAGCGGATTCTTACGCCGCACAGTTTCTACAGTCCATCTTAGACACCAAATCCGAAGACCCAATGGTCCGCCATGAGGCAGCTGAAGCCCTGGGTGCCCTCGCACATGCTGAGTCACTCCCACTACTGGAAAAATACTTGAACGATCCGGAGGAGGTAGTACGGCAGACTTGCGAACTTTCAATCGCAAGAATTAACTGGGTATCTTCGCAGAAGGACGGGGAGGGAGGTAGCAAGGACGGCAGTGGTCAGGAAGGGGGTTTATTTGCGGGAGTGGTCGATCCAGCGCCACCAGCAGGGGGCGGTAACGTGGAGGAATTGCAAAGGACATTGAACGACCAGGGGACGGACCTGTTCGAGCGATATAGAGTTATGTTCCGGTTGAGGGATATCGGGTCCAAAGAGGCTGTTGATGCACTGGCGAGTGGGTTTGGAGATCCGAGTGCTTTATTTAGGCATGAGGTTTGTTACTACTACTCTTCTCTTTTCATCTGTTCTCCCGTGATCGGCCAAGCTGATGAAGTGGAATAGATCGCATTCGTATTCGGCCAATTATCAGATCCACACAGTATCCCGGCCCTGATCAAAGTCGCCGGAAATAAAGAAGAAGCACCAATGGTCAGGCACGAGGCTGTTGAAGCGCTAGGAAGCATCGCGGACGAAAGTGTCGACGCGCTATTGAAGGAGTATGCTAAAGACGTCGAAGAGGTAGTCAGGGATAGTGCTGTCGTAGCATTAGATATGGCAGAGTTCGAAAGGAGTGGTGGTTTCGAGTACGCACTCATTCCCGGCGCTGCTTAAAATATGATCTGAGAGGTGAAAGTGTCTGCTGAGAGCGGGGGGAAGAGGGGTTTGTCTGTTACTCCATGTTTTTGTCGTTTTTATGCCGGGTTATTTCATGATAGAAAAAACGATATCAGGCTTGGCTGGGAGTAATAGATTGTCCAGTAATTTTCTTCCGTTCTGGTGTTTGTGGATATCGATGTTGGTGTTGAGATGCTTGTGCATACACTAGTCACGCGCAACCGGACTGATTCAAGATTCCACTTGAAGAGAGAAGTTGTGCCCTTGATTCCGAATTGGCGTGTAGGGGAGTAAATCATTAATAAAATCTACAATTCCTACGACCTCCACCATCCTCAGCTCCCCACAGCTTGTGCGAGTGGAGTATTCGCGGTACAGCCGCGTCCGCAAAGTTCCCCTACGCTTCCGAGCTAGCCAGCCCTCGGGGACGGTCCGCTACCGCTCTCTTTTTTTTAATTTCCAGTAGAACAAATTGTGGTAAAAGTTTACAAAGCTCCCAGAGGCACGCCTAAACACAGTTATCTGAGTGGCTCTTGCTTTTCTGTTAATTATTGTCAATAGGTATTACTCTTGAGGTACACAGGTACGAGGAAGGAAAGGGTGTGAGTGCTTTACTGACGCAGCTGTACTCGGGGGTAAGCATAAATCGGGCGCACTTCCTAATTGGGGGGAGTAGTTATATGAGAACTAAAACAGAATATGAAGGTCGAGTGATATACAATGACTACGGTCACTGGCCAGCAACAGTCAGGCACACTTCTTAATGTGGTATGGTATGTTATGAGTGATATCTTGTGCTCACAGTCATGTTTAATACATGTGCATTCATAAACATTAAAGAAACATGATTTATCGGCTACAAACTAATATGCCATTGGTCCCCCCTCAGCGTCAATCATCACCTGCAGCTAGGGAGGCATAGTATCTATCAATCCGATAAGCCATTCACTAGGAATCTCCTGCCAAACAATATTCAAAGCCTACTTTAAGGCAGGAATAAGATCAATTCTTCTCCATGTCATTCTAAGCTCTGACTCCATATCTAGCTGTTAGAAATACCAAGATCTGATACCTAGGAACCACCCTAAGTAGGGTAACTCCACTTGGAATCGGAATTTCTGGTCTCCAACACCCTGCTCTGGTCCCCTTAGGGGGCCGGCATGTTATCATACATATCAATCTCAGTTGCGTCCTGTGACTATAGTGCTACAGAATTGAAGGTGTTAGAGTAACACCGTATATGTCGCTGCTATCTATCGGACTAGATTCTGGTCACAGGATATATGAGAGGGGACCTTTGGTTAGATCTGGGAAGTGGAATGGAGTAGATCCCTTAACTTCTCAGAGAGTTACTAGGCTTTGAAGATGTGATGTCTTTGGCATGGGCTGTAGGTGACAGGACGTTTCCATACAATAAGATAGTATCGAATGATATAGGATCTCAACGAGAAACCGATACATTCGCACCCATTCTACAATAACTAGAACAGTCTAGAACTCCAAGGGGCACTAACCTAGAAACCAATAGACTTCATGGAGTGTTACAACCAGGTTTTAAAGCATATTATAGCTGCTGGAATAATTCCCAATACTAGAATGGCGATTGAAATCCTGTTGCCCAGAGCAACTAAGGGTTGCCGACAGAGTGATTATCTGCTAACCCGGTGGAATAGCTTCCTGTGAATTAGTAGAGAGTCTACTGGAAGATATCTATGGGTTGGGTAAGGAGTTATGAAGGTTCAAAGTCTGCTGACCAAGGAAGGTTGCGAGTACGACTACCTTCACAGATACAACTTGCAGATGAAACTGATCATTTCATCAATAATGGAGACAATTGGAGCCAACTCAGTTTGACTTGAGAACTAGGCCATAAGTCTAAAGACTCTGACAATTGGAGAATTACTATTGGGAATGGCATGATCTCCAGTTAACTCTATTATTACGGAAGAGAGTGTGGTGATTTTCAGGGTCTTCAGGTGTTAGCACCTTTGAAGAATACCCGATATTGCGAGTTATAATTAAGGAGATACATTGTTGTATAATTATTAGGAATACCAGAACCTGATACCTAGAAACCACCCTAAGTAGTGTAACCCCACTTGGAATCGGAATCTCTGGTCTCCAACACCCCCCTCCGGCTCCCTTACGGAGCCTGCGCGTCATCACATATCTCAATCTCAGTTGTGTCCTGTGACTACATTACCACAGAATTAAAGGTATTAGAATAACACTGTATACATCGCCGCTGTCAGTCCGACCGGATCCTGTTCACAGGATATATGAGAGGGGACTTTTGGCTAGGCCTGGGAAGTGGAACGGAGTAATTCCGTCAACTACTCAGAGGGTTACTAGGCTTCAAAGGTATGAGACCGTTGGCATGGGCCGTAGGTAATGGGACGATTTCGCATAATGAGATGGTATCAAATAGTAAAGGATCTCTATTAGAGACCGATACAATCGCATATACCAGAAGAGTCTAGAACTCCAAAAGACACTACCAAAGAAGCCAACAAACTTCACGGAGTGTTACAACTGGGTTTTGGAACACGTTGTAGTCATGGGGGGATTCTCAAATACTACCATGGTTACTGAAACCTACTACCCGGAGAGTAACCAAAGGTTGCCGACCGAGGGATTAATTACCAGTCTAGTGGAGTGGCTTCCTGCGAGTGAATAGGAAGTTATCCAAAGAAAATCTATTGGTTGGGTATGGAGTTACAAAGGGTTGGAATCAAATAACCTACAATGGCTGTAATGACGACCACCATTGCAGATATAGCTGTGGATCTGACTGATCATTTTATCAATGGTGAAGACAATTGGAGCCAACTCAGTTCGACTTAAGAACTAGGCTATAAGTCTAAAGACTCTGCTAATCAGGATATTACTATTGGAGACAGTATGTTTCCTAAGAAGAAATATTGTAATTACCCAAGAGGGTGTGATGGTTTTCAGGGTCCACAGGTGTTCGCACCTTGGAAGAAAACTCGACGTTGCGAATTACGATTGAAGAAGTACATAGTTGTATGATAAATAGATGTAGTCTGCAAACACTCAGACACGGAATATAAATATTGAAGTGCCTCCCAAGCTTTAGACATCATCAAGCAACGGAGAAGAGACCTTAACAATATAATATTGTTTGTACGATTGTACCTACTTCACTTTACTTCGTTCCTAGTAGTCATAAACGAAACGAGCTAAGTCTGAGCCTTCCTAGACAATCTCCGTCTGCAGAAACGAATCTCGATTTGCCTAGACAATTTTGAAGTCTATCAAGTTGTCTCCGCCTAACAGTATATTGTTAGATCTCCTTGTTACCAAGGCTCTCTAATCGATTACCACTTGCATGGGTTCGATTCACACTTTCAGTAAAGTCATTGATACTATAGTTGGCCTAGATACCCTTGAAGAACTATTCCGAACCAATTAAATTTTCGAACCACCGACTAAGGTTCACTTGCCATCTATCGGTCAAGTGTTTTCTAGTCAATTTGAGCTTCTAGAAGTACCATTTGTGTTATAAGAAGCTCCTTCGTGGTATACCGACCCCAACCTAGTTCCTATGGAGGAACAATTTCAAAGAATATACGAAACCTGGTACGGACCAGAATTCAGTTGGAAACCCTTCCTTGACTGGGATACCAGTGAGGAAAGTTCTCTTAGCAGCAGATTTTCTGCTACTATACCTCTAGCGTAGAGACTCGGAACTCATCCGAACTCCTATTAAGATCTATCTCCTCCTACCGCATGACGCGGCCAGTGCACCAAGTGTCCCGCCGCATATCCTACTTAAACGGAAACCTCCCAGAATGTGGGCTTCATAGCCTACTTACGAGAAAAAGAAGCTTGCAAACGAGTAAGAGAGATGGGTCAACCTCCCAAGCAGATTCTTCCAGGAGAACCAATGGATACCTCGGGAGATGATCATTCTACAAGTTTCAGTCATTCTTCCTCTCTTCTTCCCGCTCTTCGGAAACCTATTGGAGGACAAGAGGGCAGGGCTCACAGTGTCCCTTCATCCTTAAGAGACCCTTTTCCCGCTTTACGATCTACCACACCACGTCCAAATACCCATGCAGCTGACCTCGCAAGACTTGCTGCTAGGGTAGGAATTGTCATAAGTCAAATCCGACAAGACATATCAACCAGTATTGATACTGCCAATATTGCCTTTAATACGCTATCAGCAGATTCTCAAGCCAATGCACGAGGACTGATAGCCATCCAGCAACGATTGTTGGAAGGACAAGATATATACGACAATGACATTGCTATTATGTTACGTCAGTGTACAATGGTAGAAGCGAATGTCTAAGAGATCCAAGAAAGGATCAACAGGGAGATTGCTGCCAAATTGGCAGCACAAGATGCATGACAAGAGCATCATGAAGGGGTAACCACCCAACTGCAGCGAGAAGCTCTAGAACGAGACCTCACCCTGGAACGTGCTTTCCAAGAGTTCAGAGCACAACAGACCCAGCAAAATACTGCAATGAGAACCTTGATATCCAATTTGGCCGCAAGGCATGAAAGGGACTCAGAATGGTATAGCAACTTTACCCGTACCATCCAGAAGGATCAAACCCACATATCCGATACCCTATCACTAGTTCTTAACAAGCTTAAGGCACTGGATAGCGGACAACCAGGTGGTCGGCACGCTATGTTGGAATCAGTCCTAGAAGAATGGGAAGAAACTGCAGAATGGGGGGAACCTGAGGAAATCCCTCCTGGAGATAAAGGGAAACAGAGAGAAGGAGAACCTCCAACCTTTTTAATACTGGGTGGCGACCCGGACGATGGAAGTGATGATGGAGATGACGATGGAAATGGAGGAAAACGTGGAGGAGGACCATCCAGATTTAAATGGAGATTAACCTCTGAACAGCGTGGAACAGCTGATGTACTTGCAGAAGCATTGACTTAAACAGTTAAACGACCAGCAGACCCGCCCCCCATTTTTCGAAGCAAAGACCAGTCAATGCGTTTACCAT